TTTTATTTCTGTAATGGTAACTTKGTGGGTGGATGAGAGCAATAAAGCTGCATCAGAGCTGTAGCAGTGCACAAGTTCACAACTCCATATAAATAGAGTAGTACATAAGTAGAATAACAATAAGGAACAGATACCTTCATTTTMATTTCATTGCCTTAATGACCTTACTTTATTCCCAGTCGTATTGTACGGGGACAGACAGCTGAAAGTCTGGCTGAACATAACCCAGAGATTTGCTACAAGAACTTCAGTCACTGGGGGAAGAATCCAGCTTGCCCAATTCCTCAGTTTGCAGGGAATCCTCCTATGGTAAGAACACTTGGCTTGAGTGTAAATCTTATAGAAGATGTTTACAATTTGCTCTTCTTTTCTTAAATAATACAGGCAATTGCATAGAAAAAYAGCTATGTAACCTTCAGCACCTTTCAATGGCAGCTTTCTTTACATGAAGCAATAGCTTTTGACACAATGGATTGCAAACAGAAATGGACCCCAGACAGAAAACCCACTCTCAGTGTGCTGTAAAAKAAGCACAACTGACAGACAAAACAAAAGTGCAATTGGTGTCTGAGAACTGTTTATCCCAAAAATAAACAATGGCTTCTGGGGATATCTGGAAAGTGCTGTAATCTTCACAATAAATAGTTTCATATTATTAATGAACTRATGATCATTAACAGTAAATAATGCCCCTGGAAACATGAAATTGAAACTTCAGCTTTTATTGACTAACCAGGCTGGTTTTTCTTTCACATTTCAGACTGATCTCTTAACAGAAACCACATCTTTYCTTGCAGTAATACAGACCAGAGCCAATAATACATTAAGAGTTTTACACTACCTTTCCCTTAGTTACCTTCTTTTTCAGACAGAGACAAAATTGCTTATAGGAAMATGCTTTGTTGTAAATGTAGTAGAAACTAAAAAGCCAGCTGCAACTCTCAATAGAGAAACAAATTTTCTCTCTGACCAGAATTTTAAATGTCAGAGGTCTTATACATTAAGGATTCCCTAATCTGGTTAATGAAGAGCTTAGATTACTTGTATTTCACCTCTGCTCATAGAATTTCCAGGATTTGATTTTATCTAAGTTGCCGTCTCATCTAGTGGAAGGTGTCCTTGTCTACAGCAGGGGGGTTGGAACTACATGACCCATAAGATTTCTTCCAACCCAGACCTTCCTGTGACTCTGTGATCTTCATCATCTGACTTTATTCTGCTTGCAGACATGGAAGTGGGTGGTAGGTCCCATGTTTCTGTACCTGTGTGAGCGGCTGGTGCGYTTTTGGAGGTCACAGCAGAAGGTTGTTATCACAAAGGTAAGTGCTGATGGTACACTTTATACCAGGCAAAACATTGCCTTTTTTTTCCAAATGGTGCAGCAAAGCCAGCAGCTCCTACACAGCAGAGTTGTCAGTAAAAGGAGTGCTCTGTCTGCTGTCGTGATGCCAACATCTAACATCCAAATGCAGATTCTAAGTGAGTGAGAGGAGGAATTTAGAAAATTCCACAGTGCAGAAATCCCACAGACTTGAGACTAATTTAAGSCACAGAACAAATGACCCCTGAAAATGAGTTAGATCATTCCTATTTTATGCACACAAATCTAATGCTGAGCTTCCATCCCCATGGCGTGCTGCAGAGATATTAGCACTGATTCTGAAAGTCTGACAGCCAAATTAATCACAGCACTGAGCTCAAACATATGAAAATTATCCTGGCCTTTCCCAGTGTAATTCCCTCACATGGCACTCTGCTGCATCCTGAGGACACACCCTGTTCAAACCATAGCAGGGTTTGGGGGATGATAAGAGATGATTCTACCACGCTCTGTAATGATGCAGACACATTGGAAGGCTCCTAAATATTTGCATGCTTTTGGTAATTTTACCAAAATATCCTGTGAGCCACTTCTACACCATGTAGCTCTGGTGTCTGTTTAGAGTCCTGTTGGCAGAAAATTCCTTTCACAGTCCTAAGAACTATTATTAATACCTACACTAACAGAGAGACTTGATTCTCCCTCTAGTAAATCTCTTTTAAAGAAAATGAAAATAATTTTTGCAGACAACTTTAGGATTTAACATCATAGTGACAGAATTACTGGTCTTGCTTCTAGAATGTTGCTTCTATTTATTCTTGGCTAAAGAATAGCCAAGGTCCCACCCAGCTATAACAAGAAAACATCAATTTTCAGTGCAACAGCCCTCTGTTTTTCCCCTATATTTGCAGTCAGGTCCATTAACACTGTGTTCTGTGCTACCTGTGTGAGGTCCATCTGGAATTACCAATGTGCACACAGAGATTTGGTGATGTGTTACAAGATGTGCCAGCCTGGCCTGTCCCTTTTATAGTGGCTGCAAGCTTGGTGTGAAAAAAAACACTTCAACCAAAACATCAGCATCCTCTGCAGGCTTACATCTGCCTGTCAGGCACTGTTCCTCACTCTCAGTTCTGCTGRGAAGAAAGTTTTACCTGTTTTCCTTGCTCTCATAGCATCCTCATGATGGAGGATGTAGATACAACAGTGAACAGTCAAGACAGACATTTTCTCTTCCTTTTTTTCCCCTTGCCCTTCTCACTGTAGGTGGTCATTCATCCTTTCAAGACAATTGAGCTGCAGATGATGAAGAAGGGCTTCAAGATGGAGGTTGGACAATACATTTTTGTCAAATGCCCCGCAGTGTCTAAACTGGAATGGCATCCATTYACCTTGACTTCTGCTCCAGAAGAGGATTATTTCAGCATTCATGTCCGTATTGTAGGAGATTGGACAGAGGGCTTGTTCAATGCCTGTGGRTGTGACAAACAAGAATTCCAGGAGGCATGGAAGATGCCTAAGTAAGTACAAAGAATCTCCATGGCAAAGTCAACAAACATCTATGACAGTTTAAATTTTGCTCAACCAATTTGATGGCACCAGTGATACAAACAAAGATGTGAGCCTTAGATGGCTCTTTACAGTTTTTCTCTATAAACTGCACCTCTCCTTTTGCTGACTAGTGTTCAGTCCAAATAGGCATCGCAGCAGACAAACACTTTTCTACTGTTATTTTAAATGGTGTTAATAAATACTCACTATTGATTTAACAAGCATACTTTCAATTCCAGGATAGCTGTGGATGGCCCCTTTGGAACAGCGAGTGAGGATGTGTTCAGTTATGAAACYGTGATGCTCGTTGGAGCTGGAATAGGGGTCACCCCCTTTGCATCTGTCCTGAAGTCTGTCTGGTACAAATACTGCCATGATGCAACCAACCTAAAGCTCAAGAAGGTATTGTGTCCTCTTTCCCAGAAATCCTGTAACTGTTCAAGGGCCAAGAGCCCAAATCAAAGCAGGCACTGCAAAGGTGATCTGGCTCCAGACATGCAAGAGTTCTAAAAAAAGAAGAGTACAGCTGCCTCTCAAGGTTAGCAGGAGGAAAACAGGAGGATCTAAAGCAAAAACATAATGAAAGGAGAAATAGCCTACAAACCAGAGCATGCATGCTAATCCTGACTGCAGCCATGGGGATTTCCAGTTGTGGTGGAAATGGTGWTCATCTGCTTGAGAAACAGAAAATTCAAGGCACTAATACAGCCTGGGCAAATATTGCATTCCTTCCCCCAGCACAAAGAGAAAGGCTTTTTGGCAGTGGAAGTGCAATGCTACCATCCTCCTGTCCYCTCCTTCCCCTGGAAACTCCCCATGCAGAGATGTGGGGTCACACTTTACAGTTATGGTCAGATTCAGAGAACAGAACTGGTTTTGTWACCTACCCTAATTTATCTTGCCTGCCAGCAGACAGAAAGAGAGTTCAGCTCTAAATCATTTATTTATATGCTAACAAACTTTTACAAGGGTTTAAGTGGGGAGATGTTGTGAACTAAAAATGTGGAAGAGAAATAAAAAGATATTTCCTTGTTCTTCCAGTCAGTCATTCAGCTTTACAGCCCACTTGGCATCAAAACTCCTGAACAGCTTCAGTACCATCCTACCCATCTACTGAAGTGTTCAGGACAWTTTCTACATGAACTCGATAATCTTCACTCTGTCAGCAGACATAAACCCAGAAACATAAGTGCCTRTATCCTCTGACAGCTCACTCTTGTCTCTTCCAGATTTATTTTTACTGGCTTTGCAGGGACACACATGCYTTCGAATGGTTTGCTGACCTCTTGCAATCTCTGGAGGCTCAAATGCAGGAGAGGGACAACGCAGAGTTTCTGAGCTATAACATCTACCTTACAGGCTGGGATGAAACTCAGGTAACCACCCAGGAGAAAATAACACTGCCATAAAACTGGGGTTAATGTTAGCAAGTGTATTTTCACAAATGTTCAAATGGTCTTTTATCCTGGGCACCCATCTGGCTCTCAGAGGTTTCGAATGCAGAACGGTTGTTACCCATCAGAAGTTTCATGAGATCAGCTGAAATGTGCACTGACTTCCTTTCTGGTTTRCTCTGGCTGTGCTCTGGGGAAACTGGCTTTGTTCACAGGAGAAACCTCAACAGACCATGCCCGTGTCTCTAAAACAGCTGGTGCTTCCTAAAGCATGCCATGAAGAGCTTTAGGGACCAGGGAAGCCAATGCCCAAMGTCTGAACAACAGCAGCATATTTGTTTCAGGACTCATGAGTTCTCTGTCTGGTCCCAAGTTGTAGGTTGCTGTGGGGATGATGTGTGATTGAGTCAGGAAAAGCTTTCACTCTGTTATTTTCAGTGATGTTTTATATTACTCATATCTCATCATTGCAAAATTCACCAAGTGCCCAATGTGCTGTAGCTCAGCCAGACTGACAGAGACAGGGAGCAGCAAGGAAGTTATCACATGAGCAATGGGAAAAAAACAGAAAGGAAAGAAGAAAAGTCCCACAATTTTTTCCTTGGGGATAAAGTTACTTGTAACTTTTTTTGTCTGATATAAAAGGGCTGCAGAACTCTGCAAGGACTGATCTTCTGCCTTTAACCACATCTTATCTTCCTGGCTTTACTTAACTTAGCTGGTCTAGGTGAAAGTTACCCAGGCAAGACCTCATATGGATCAAACCTTCCAGAGAACAAACCAGCAAGATTTCATTGGTCAAGGGTTAACAAGCATTTTTGTATCTGAAGGGAAAGGCGGTTTTAATTTCCAGTCCTATTTTAGAGTTCTTAGACTAAACCTCATTGCAAAAAAMCACCTCAATTAATTGCTGTGTTCAATGTTTCATAGCTTTAACTCTTGAGATCACCCAGTCTTCAGAGAAGGAAGGGGTAGACATTGATAGTCAGGATTTTATCAGTCTTAGTGTTACTTGCAAAACACCTTCAATTCCATAATCTCATTTGGTAAACAATTCAATGAATATTGACATTATTATTTTTAACCAGAATACAATGCTGCCAAATTTAACTGTCCTTTGTGTTTCATTTCCCACAGGCCACTCACTTCGTAGTGCATCATGAAGAAGAGAAAGATGTGATTACAGGACTTAAACAGAAAACCTTGTATGGAAGACCTAACTGGGAAAATGAGTTCAAAACAATTGCAGAGAAGCATCCTGGGTAAACCTGTGCAAATTTATAGTGTCTGTGGACTCCCTCTATTTAATGGCCATACAGCACAATCTTGTTCCCTTGGCTGATAAATTTTGAGCATTCTTTTTTCTACCTATCTCCATTATCTATTCTTTTTTCAGCCATGGACATGATCTATGATCTTAACCAAAKTGTTTTGACCTACAATTTTTAAAAAAGTCATCCCTTTCTTGGCAAGACACTTCTTGGAGTGTCTAATCACTAGCAGAAGATTTAGAACAAAACTAACCCTATCCTTCCAGCTGAAGTAGATAGAAATATCAGGTGGTGGCTAGATACCTCCCACCCAAACWTCAATATGGATGACCTTTAGCTAAGAATCCAAAATTAGCAGGAAAAAACCAGCTCCCCTCAAGAACTTGTGCCATAAGCTCTTTGAAGCTCTATGTTTTTGATTCAGTGAGGTCAAAAAACCTGTCTTCACTGACTTAGGCTGAAYTGAGATTTAGCCCAGAATTTGTTTTAGAAGCAGCAATAGTTTTAAGGGATTATAAATTTTAAGGGGTAAACCTCCAGTTCTACTTCACTCCCTGCACCTGAGAAAAAAACCTCGCATGTATAGAACATAAAAATTATTTGCATGAAGAATGATATCCAGCTGCTCCATACCTAGTTTCTGACCATATTTTCATTTTTTTTAACAGCTCCAGAGTAGGTGTTTTTCTCTGTGGCCCCGAGGGCCTGGCTGACACACTCAACAAGCAGAGCATCAGCAACTCAGAAGCTGACCCACGAGGAGTGCACTTCATTTTTAACAAAGAAAACTTCTAACTCCCAGGCACGTGGGAGTCATTAAATACAAAGTCTAAARACTGAATTTGWTTTTCTGTTTGGAGTTTGGGAAGGACACCCCAGCTTCTAAATTTCAGCATTTGTTTTTCTGTTTGGAGTTTGGGAAGGACAGCCCAGCTTCTAAATTTCAGCATTTGTTTTTCTGTTTGGAGTTTGGGAAGGACAGCCCAGCTTCTAAATTTCAGCTACACTAACGCAGGTCCCTTTGCTTCTTGGGAATTATTTTGGCGCTGTGCTAGAGTAAAAGAGTCACGTTTTACCTTAGGGAAGTTTTCACTGCCCTCCACGAGCCGGCTATTTRGTAGAAATCCGTTTTCTTTGTGTCTGTGAGAGGATTTCTCCTCAATTAACTCCCTTTATCCTCCTATTATCCACCRCGACTGTTGAAGAGTGGMGGCTGCCSMAGGCTTTTGGGAGCCAAATCTCACYCCTAAAGCTTAGTGCGTTAAACAATAAAGCATTCTAGCATAATGCTTGCTGTTAGGAGACAGCTTATCCTGTCTGCAGCCAGTCCCTGAACAAGGGGACTCGGGGAGGGTGACTGGGAAAGTTCTTTCCTTACAAGAGGAAAATTCCTTTGAGCACCAGCACCTCCCAGGCTTCCAACATAAACCTTAAACATTCTCTCCAAGAGAGACTGCAGGCAGCTGAAAAGAAGCTGTTTCTCCTCGGGAAAGAGAACTGAAAAGGAACCACCTGGGCTTGAGAGAACCGCAGAGGGATGACAAGGACGGGTTCAATGCCAGTCCCGCACCTGGTGTGCGAATCATCCCTCTCTGCTTTGAACATCCTCGCTTTCACAGCTTCAGGCTCACGGTGCAGGGATCCAAACAAGAAGAGCTTTTGTGTTTTCAAGGCTATCGTTTCTGATTTTCAAGGCTGGAAAAAGCTGTTGCTGAATGATTTGACGGGTGTTTTTCTGAAGCATTCTTAAATGCAAGCAGCGCTTTTGGCCCTGTTGCTCAGCTGTTTTTTGATGGTGAATCAGGCTTTGAGAAAGCAATGGTCACTTTATTCACAGAATAAAATTCCTGATGTGCACAAGACTCCCATACACAGTACAGTGCTTCTGTACACTRCAGGTAGCAGGTTCTTAAATGAATAAAAGGGAACCAAAACTTCATACTGGCAAGAGAGGGAAAAAAAAAAATTAAAATTAGCAGCATAGGAAAAAAAATTGAAAAGCAAGTGCAAAAAGCCTTGGAAAAGCCACAGTTTAGTGCACTATCACTATTCTGTTCATCCCAGTTGCCTGCTTAATGACTTTTAAACTCCACAGCCAAGCCCTGCAGTAGCTCCTGCACACACGAGGCCTTCCTGGCAGGTTCTTGCAGCCACAGAAGAAAGGTTGCTCTCCTTCTGCAATTTCAGACAAGTTTGTGCAGCCATCTGGTTGCATGTAGCRTATTTTACACCTCAGCTTGCCACACAGGATGTGCTCTCCCTTTACAGCATTTTAAAATGTTATCCAAGGTCTCAATGCTACTTCAGAAAGGCAGCCTACCAGTTCCTATTTATTAATATCAGTTATTGATGAATGTTGGCAAAGATCAACTCTTGGTGAAGAATTTTACAGTTATTTCCCTCAGAAGGGCTATATTCAAATCCATATTCAAACCATAATTCAGCCTGAAACACACCTATTAAATCATAATGAGCATATGTATAACAAAAGGAACTTCTTCTCTAGAGTGAAAAATATTGCTACTGAAATATAATAAGGGTCTCATCCTATGCAGAAAGCACTAAAATATTTGCCCCCRATTTTAATGGAAATGTGATCAGGCTTTTACAATCTTAGAAAGTGAGCAAAGAGGAATTTGCTAKAGGTCACATGAAGACAGCATATTTATCATAAGAAGAGTCTTGGAGTGATGWATTTTAATTCACCCTTTAATTTTCCATATATTGCCATGTTTATTCTTAAAACACCCGGGATCTTTCATAAGTCAGTTGCAGAGACATTCCCTGGCCAGGTGGAAACTTGTACCAGGACTTGTTTATCACTTTGAACTCAGAAAAAAGTTATTCTGTGTTTGTTAATAAATATTTTTTTCCTAAAACATTTAAAAGAATAAGAGAGTTTCTCAGTTTCTTTCAAAAGTTTGTTGCATTAAATCCTGCTAAAACAGTGAGACAAGCATTATCAGACATGGTCTGAATATGAAGGGGTTTTTTTAATCTGGGATACAATAGGGAAATAGCAYTGAAATACAAATATTAGAAACAAAYTGGTYTGAGTCCTCAGGGCAKCAGGCTACAGGTGAGGTTCAAAGACAATCCTTTTTGTGGCCAAATGCCACTGCTCTGATGGTTGCTGGGTCTTTGGCTGAAAAATTCCTCCTTCTTTGTATTTGGGGATTTTCTCTTGGAAATGGAGAAAGGGTCACTTTCACAATAAACTGCTTCTTTTGCTGTCAAGTCACTGATTCCAAATGGGTGTAAATCAAGAGTGGCTTCTCCCCTTTGTTTGAGAACTGCAGATGGCTCAGCAGTTTTTTCCAGGCCATCCGTGCCATGGCCCCACTGCAGCAGCACCACTGAGGTTTGCTGAGGGTCAGGAGTGTTTGGGGGATGCTCTGTGAATCACAGGAGGGGTGGCACTGGATGGTTGAAGGCAGGACTTGAGGGATCTCCATAACCCATTGATGAGGGTCAATTACCACCATAAAACTCTTCCTTTCCTCTTTATTAAGCTCTTAATTTGTTTGGATCCAAAGAAAATGAGATATTGTGCTTACTCTGGCAGCAAGCCCTCACACACTGTTGGACTGCTGTACCTGAGTTTATAAAGGGGACTGAAATGTGATCTCTGCTTCAGTTCCAAARAATTCCCTACTCAAATGACACTGTTGAGGTCAAGAAAAGCCATTGCAGGACTGTTGAAATAACTGTTTCAACTAATGAAAGCAATTAGGAGTTAAATTCAAAGTGACTGGATAGAAAAGTTGGCCTCACTCATGGCCTCAGCCTAGGATGTTTTCCTTCCCTTCTTATATATTTTCTCTGTCTTGCCATATGTTGTCATCTGAAATGAGCAGTTAATTGATTCATTGGTATCCTCACTCTCCAATCCACTGTAAATTAATTTTGCAGTTAGAGATCATGACCCTCGGGGCTGCTGGGCAGCTCTGGCTCCCATTGGCCTCAACTTTGGGAACTGGAAGGGAGCTTTGGAGAGGACATGGCACTGGGCCATACTCAGATATTCTATTCAAGCAAGAACTTGATATGACTTTCATCTTCCTTCTCTGCTCCCTCCTTGCAAAGTGTAAACATGGGCAAATGAAATCCAAGTTTTCCTAAGTTTTRGCCTACAATAAAAGTGCTACTGTGCCTTTTCACCATCATGGTGGGAAACTACCCCAGTTGCAAAATTGGTCTTCCTCCTCAAAGTCTTGTAAGACTTTCCCTAATGGGTGGGGATTTTCTGCCTTTCAGTTCTCACATGGTGGGTCAAATTAAATTAGAAACAGAAAAAAAAAAAAAAAACCAACAAAAAGCTGCCTGTGAAAAGAAGCGGGTTTTTTTGAACCAAAAAAAACCAAAATCAAAACAAATTTAAAAAACCCAAAAGGGTCCCATTATGGCACTTTTTTCTGAGTATCCTGCTCTATTTTGGAGTGCTCTTAGCAAGTTAATTTTGACTCCTTATGTTTTTTCATCTTTCAATGAACTCTTTGTAGAGTTCAGAGCCAAGTGTCTGAACACACAGCTCTCTATGCTCAAAGGAAGTTAGGAGCATACATTAAGATGCTACAGTTGTAGGTGCTGGCAGGTTCAAGACCCTCTGCCTGACTGTGTAAAACAGCAGCAGTTGCACAGACTCAAGGCAGTCTGTGTCATGAACCAGACGTTCACTTTTGCATTTGATGCAAACCTCAACAACCATCCGGCCTCATTTACATTCACCACACACAAACCAGCCCAGACTAACAGCAAAATTTACCACAATGGAGTGGAAAGTTGTTGAAAGACTTGCTGAAAGATTACAAATGCTTTCCAGTCCATTCTGCACCTCTGCTGGCCCCATTCCTCCCTTTCTGCTGGTACTCTTCTGCCTGGCAAACTGGTGCCTTTCTACCCAGCCAGCTACTGCTGTTTTCTTTCTGTTCATTTCTTCTACAATTSCTGCTGCCCCAGCTTCCCTCACCCATWTCCTCCTGCTCCCAATCTCTGCAAATGTCCTCTAAATCTCCAGCTCTCATGATGTTTTTGCCAGGGATGTAAATGCTTGTGCCAGTGCAAGCTCCAGGAGAGGCACAAGGGCTTTGCCCCGAGCTCCAACCTCTGCAGTGCACATCTCACAAAACATTGTTCTGCTGCAACCTCCCCTGTGACTACAAACAGACCAGGGCTGTAGCCACCTCTGGACTGCCAAACCAGATTGTTTTGGACCTTTCAAATATTTTCTTCTCCTGCTTAACAATTTTAGTGTTAAATTCTACTGCGAAATAAATTTATGAGCTGCTCTGTTCTAGACTTTCAGCCTGTGTGAATCAAATTTCATACATTTGTCCTGTAAAAAACCCAATTAATTTGACCTATATTTCATTTTAATTGTTCAGAAATGAGGAGCATGGCCAAAAAAAACCCATCTTACTGCCCCCCAAAATACCCAGCCACCTTRTAAAGAATTTTGGCACAGAAATTGTCCAATTTCCTATTACAGACTCTTTGCCTCTGTAAACCAAGGGGTTTTCTACCCTGCAGTGCCACAGAGCCAGGGCATAAGTGAATGTCCCTGCAGGATAACCCAAGGCTGGGTTATTTCCCATGAACAGTTAATGAAGGTAATTGCTGCTGAGCTTTTATCACCCTCCCTGCTTTTTTCTCATACTTCCCTTTCATCTGAGGCAACCAATGCTAGCTCAAGCCTGCTTTCAGGTGGTGAATTCACTCAAGCACTCTGAGACCTYACCCTTGCTCAGACAGCAGAAAGGAAATAATCAGAAAAGACTGACAAACCAACTGTGAGAAACACTTTCTAAAGGAAATTCCCCTGAGGAGATAGAAAAAGAACTCTTTAGATTGTGAGCAGCCATCTTCTGACTCAAAATTATGAAAGTTCCTCTCAACAACTGTTAGAAATTAATGCAATACTTTCACTGTAATAGGGCTGCAAAYGGTTAGGTAAATATGTGGATCATTGTCCATCACTTGTTCATCTCACATGAATCAGTTAAGGACTTGATAGCAAAGATTTATCATTACAAGCCAAAGGAAATAATGATAAAAATGGTGTAAAAGACAGTAATAGGAGTTGCAGTAAAATTCTGCTTAMAGAGGACTAACTGATGCTCAGTTTCCCAGTAGTAGCTTGAATTCACTTTACAGGAAACCTTTGAAGATTATAATCTCTGTCACAGCTGTTGCTGCATCTGGAAGTGAGCCAT